CCTCCCTCTGGCATCCAGATACAGAGTAGAATGCACGGGGGAGGGGGGAAGAGATAGCAAAGAAAGCACACATTGCTTTCTTCTTTCAGTTTCCACCCTAGTGGTTCCCATCTCTTCTTAGAGAATACGCTCAGTGTTACCAGACAGCTTTGTGATCTCTGGGGTAGAACCCAAACATTCAAAGCTTGGCACTGAATTAGCAAGCCCAAGTCAATCAAGTAAGCTACTTGATAAGCAAGGTCCAGCCTGTTTCTCACTTCCCTGAGTCTGTAATAGCTGCTTCTGTCCTTGCTAGTCTAAATCATCATGAGGCTCTGTATTCAGAATTACCACTCCAAAAAACTTTTTGTTTATTCTCATGATGGAAATAGAACATTGGAAGCAAAGTAGGATGAGAAAAGATACACCAGTTACCCTTCCTCCACACAGACGCTATGGAAAAAAAGGTAACTCACACACCTCTTGCATCACCAGCAAGACTTCCTTTATGGAGTTGAGTTTGGTACGCTTCCAGGTCAGCTTAGAGCAATCTAAAACCATTCTAACACAAAATCTCAGTAAAATTTCTAGCTGGTTTTAATTAATTTCTCTACTCTGGAATAATGTTTTAGGGAGCGAGAAGACAGAAACGAACCCTCTAACGAGACGCTTGACACTAATGAGAGAGCAAAGGATGAGGACAATGTTGGAGATGAATGAAGAAAGAAGTGGGAGGCAAACACCACCCTCAAGATGTAGAAAAGAAAACAACCCCTCTTTCTTACTGCAAGGCAGCTTTGTGAAATAATGAGATGAAATCTAATGGCTCTGCCTTGAAGTTCTGGGAGAGAATATCCTTGTCTCCCTGGAAAGAAGAGCCTAACATACACTGAGTATTAATATATATGCCCATAGCAGTAAAACGCATGTGAGGCACCGTTTCACCCAGTCATCCAAAAATAACCAGTCTTCTAGACTTCCCACTTTCTGAAAAAAGATGTCAGTCAGGTCTGTTTGGAGGACAGAGCTTCCTCTGCATCCCGAGATCCACAGAAGGTTTCAACGTCACCAACTGCAAGCTATCCAGGAAGGGTGGTCTTGTTTATGGTGTTACATAAATGTCACAGTTTACAGCATTGCCTAATACAGAAATTATTTTATGCAGACTGAAGCAAGCCAATTTTTAGGGATATTTTATTGTGTTCTTTGTATATATAATATATGCACATACAAATAAAAATATGGGGGGGGAAAAAATCAAAAATGACCAATGAAAGTCTCCTGTTTTGAACAACATGCTTTGTTAAGATAAGGTAAGAAGTGAGATGGATTTGTAATTGGCAGCTGTTAAGATCTAGAAACAGTCTAGTAGCCTGTATACTGTCAGATGCTGAACTTAGTAGTCCCAGGTCAGAGAGTTCCTAAATACTAATTTTCATTGCATTGTTGGATGGGCAAGTCAGAAATAGTCCACTGGTCCTGCTGCTGCTGCTGCTGAAGAAAATTACATTGGGAGAGCATGTAGATAGCAAGTACATCTTTAACAAAAAAGAGAGAGGGGGAAGGAGAAAAAGAACCTTTTTACTCAAAATTGTAACGATTTAGTTAGAAGCACTGTATGTACAAAACGAGTGCAAATGTGGAGAGAACTCCCTCACTAGTATCTTATCTTTGGAAGAGAACGGACTGTTTTCATCCAGAAGACTGTTGATATGGTATTAAAGCCAATTAAGAGCTGTTTGGTTTGTTTGTTGGCGGTTTGTTTGGTTTTGTTTTTTTTATCAAGAGACATGCCCAATAAATTACTTACACGACAACATTTATCCTTTCAAAGCTCTCTATTGCATCTTTGACTTCAGCAGTTTCACAAACTTACTGCAACGCCTCCCACATACCCTTTGCCCCTAAGCAGTTACTTCTGAATCTGTAACAAAAATATAAACCACATCTTTCAAAAGGAACTAGCTATGGTACTACACATGGTCAGCATTTTCTAGATTTTGAACTATACAAATGAGACTACCAGAACTGTTATTCTGGCTGCCTTTGTTTTACATTGTGCTTAAAATATAATTATTCGTTTGTACTAATGACAACCACAAAGACCAACGACCTGAGTTCTTTACAAAGTACACACAACCTCAAATCTCTCTGGCAACGAACAACCCAAAACGCAACTCAGCGAGATATTCAGAGGTCCTACTCCTCTGCTTAGTTTAGACGCATGACAAAACATTGCAAAAATGGATGACTAAAAAAGAATTTTGCACACAGAAGCTGAAGGCAGAAAAAAACCATGAAGTGTATAGCTCAGAAACAGAGCTGATACGTATTTTATTCTGTTTGGTTACAAGCAAATATAGCATGAATTATCTAATTAGCATTGTAACCATTTTTTTACTGTGAAACAAAAGCTATTTCTTTTATAAATGTTACAGGCATTAGCCAGCACTCTATCCCTGCCAAACACCTCTGCGCTGGGGCTGAAGAGGGCTTCTGCCGAGGGATAACAGCATGTTTTCTCTAAGATCTTAACTGAAAAGTCCAGCAAAAGGACTTGACAATTATCAGAAGTATTTATGGCCAGAAGCTAGCTCTGGCCTCTAAATCATTTTAACATTGTGTCACCTATCCCATACTCTTCACTCTTAGGATAATGAAGCTTAACTGCTGCTTGTCAGCTCAAGTCCTGAAGTAACATTTGCACGTTGGTCATTTTAACCATAAAGAAAAATGCAGATTAGCAAATCTACATTAAGTTACCTGAAGGAAACAGCCACAGAATACAGAAGCAATTACATAATGGCTCCCAAACCCATGCATTCAATTCTCTGTAAGCAGTTTCCATAAGAACTAGCAGGGGAAAAGCAAGAGAGTCAAACCTGACAACTATTAACGCAGAACTACTTACATTCTGCAATGCTAAGCTCCACTCTACCCTGGGAAATAAACTAAGCAACAGCACATAGAGAGATGGTCAAGATACATTTTTTGGCTTCTTTTTTTTTCTTTTTTGTTAAATAAGACTACATGTTGGAAGTTGTGCTTTTATCAGAATGCTATGTGTATTTTTCTTCCATCAATTTGTTAAAATCAGTCAGCCAGAAATACATTTATTCAAAATCCCTATCTTACTCTAAGGTTTTCCTGTGACTGAATTAATTACTTGTGTGTCTTGTATGTCTTTTGACACAGGAATAACTCCAAGAGCTTGTAGTATACTTAAAACTTTAAATTAAATTAAAGAAGCACTAACAAATTTTGCAGGAAAGATGAGGAAAGCTAGCAATATTTACTTAGTTCCCAAGAATTAATGTATGTACACCCAACTTCAATACCCACTTCCCTCAAAAGGTGGAAAATACGCAGCAAATGAATGACCAGGCAGAAAAACAAATTACTGCTTTACCCTTTACACAGCCTATAGCAGATTACTGTTTAGTTACATTCAGCTTTCACATGGAAGAATACACAGGTAGAGCTTTACCTGTGCACAGACAGGAAGAACCAGAACACAAAGATTTAACCCCTCACAAAACCATTTTCCCCATCATCTGCAGGACTGCTAAGACCTGCTACCCTAAGTGGAACGACACTGCAGTAGGATTTTGACACGTCATCACTTAACAAGATTTGTTTTGGTCAGCATACCAAGACATTATTTAAAAATTACCTGGCTTTCCTTCTGACACTAACTCAAGCCGTTTGCTCAATAACGAAGCACATGAAGTAAGCAAAGAAGCCCACTCCATCAGCCTAGCAACCCAGTAAAAAGTAGGCAAGAGAGAAATTTTGCATGCAATTTGAAAAACTGTTCAGCCTCCACTGCTCAAAGCAATTCATTAACCAGAACTATATGACATTTCCCTCTTGCATTGAAAGGGGAGGAATGTCTCCCCAGTACACTGCTCCTTCGCCCCCCAGCTTTAATTGCTTCCATTCACATTAATATTTTTACTTGCTTCCAACATTCTGAAGGCAATACACTTCACAGCTTACTGAGGAAAAAACAGTTCATTATTTATTTCTATTATCAGCCACTTAGCTTTTAAAATTTATTCCTCTCTAGGCCCTTCTCATCCAAGGAACTCAAAGGCCTACTGAAAGCAAATCTGCCATTTATGAGTGACAGAATAAAAGTTAAATGACCACCTGAGTGGAGACACATATCACCACAATGCAGAAGTAGCATGAAGATAAGGAGGAGTCAGGACTCCCAGTCCTTTGATACCCTGCAAGGCAAGTTACTCTCATCAACATCCTTGTTCCCATTTCACCTTCTGGATTTCCCCATTTTTTTATTTTATTCTTTTTTGTTCTCTTCTTCATTTCGGCTTTCTTTCATCTCGGCAAAGTTGCTCTCCTGCCAGCTCTGACTGTACTGCTGGAAAAGGTTTTTCCTTTCCAGGCACAGGACTTCACTGCATTGCATAAAGTTCCTATTAGCCTGCTCCTCCAGCCTGTTTAGGTCCCTGTGTGCAACAGTCCTGCCCTCAAGTGTATCAGCTGATCTCCCAAATCTGGCGTTTTCTGCAGGCAAGAGTGCACTCCATCACCTCCAAACAAGGCTAAATATACTAAACAGGCCATAGGATAAAACTCTCCAGTACCCCACTTGTTACTATCCTCCACGTAGAGTACGACCAAGTTTTATCCATCTGGTTGTTTACCCATCTAGACTGTAATGTCCCAACTTGGGTACAAGTATCCTGTGAAGATCTGCACACCGAAAACCTTGCTGAAGTCGCTGCTGACCACGAACTGTTTTTCCTTTATTCACAAACCTACCATGGAAAGCAACCAGGCCAGCCAAGCACGATTTAGCCCTGGCAAATCCACGCTGTTTCCAGTCTCTCTCCTTCACATACCCCAAAACGTGTTCCAAGAGGGCTCACTCCATGATTTTTCCAAGCAGTCCAGTGAAGCCAAGCAGCCAAGCAGTCTAGTTTCCTAGACTACCCTTTAGGCAGATAGCTGCAACATTTGCCTGACATTGCTGTGGACCTTCTGTGCTCTTTGTGACATTTCAAAGGTGAGAGAACAGCCTCGCAAAGGTATCGGGCAGCTTCCTCAGACACAGGCTCTATGGATTTGTTTGAGTCTGGAACTCCCAACCGATCCCCGTCTCACTCTTCTTTCTGCTACCAACCTTAATGAACTTCAGAGCCACCCTGCAAGGATTCCCCCCCTACCTCTTTCCCACATAACCCCCAAGGTCTGCTCTCATTGCCCTCCTCACCCTTCTCAGGATTTTGAGAAATATTTCCAGTATTAAAAGACACAGAAGCCAGCACTGCCACTACTTATTTTAAGATTCAGTACAGTGCACAATTCAGAACTCAGACAGACAAGAGTTAATTATCTCACAATTCTTGTTGCTAGAGTAACAGCAGTACTTTCCTATTTATTTGTATCATCTGTTGCAGGAAAGGCACCAAGGCAGCTTTCTCTCTGAAGAAGTTCACAGTACAATGAGCAAACCATCAAGATTAACTCTGGATGCGTTGGAACCAGTACTAAATTTATTATAGTCCAACATAAGGGAATTTGGAACTTCTCTCTCCTACATTTCACTTGCTCGCTAGGGAGTGAGGGGAATTGTTTGAAAATGGTAAATAGAGAAGCTTGTGGGAGCTTCTAAGACAGAACCAAGGAAAAGTAAAGGAACAGAGACAATACAAGGTTAGACTAATGCAAGTGTTTGTCAATTTCTTAATTTTACTGAATCTTTGCAATAAAAATCACTTTGGAGCTCATTCTAGGTTGAAAGTGAGGGACGATAATCCTGCAGAAGACATCAAGAGGGCAAAGACTAGATAATATTGTTACTCCCCTGCCCCACTACAGTGCATTTAACCTGCCAAAACCTTTGCAGTCAGCTGCATACACCTCTGTCCATCAACCAGAAATTAAAAATCTCTGATTCACACATATACTTGTGTCGCCTAACTTTTAGGAAAAGCATTAGCATGTTTAAATTCAACTAACAGTTCAAAAAGCACAGTCCTTCTGTGTTAATTATGCAGCTTTTTTAAAAAGGTACCAGAAACAGAAAGCTACAGGTATTCTGCAAGGGAATCCAGACGAGTCTTCTTTGAATACAAGGTTTTTCATTCCCCGAACGCAAATTTTTACTTGGAAGACCTTCAGCACACCACTATCTGACCGTGGTGGCGCAAGCCAGAGTCCCTGAAATGGAAGGTGGTTTTCTATTTGGGTATGACTCAGCACAGACCTCACACTACGTAGCTGGCAAAGAATGCACCCAGCGGAAGGAATATCAGCTGTGACATCTATATGACCAAGGACCACAGCACGGCTTCCTCCAGTCTGACAGGCACCTGACCAGCAAAATCCAACACCTGGTATTTGACATGCCCACCCCCTGAAAGCCCCCACCAAATTACCGCCTGCCTTCTATCTTTAAAGATATTGATGACTGAGGTATTTCTAAAGAGGTGATAAAGATGAATCTTACTTAAGACACAGCAAGCATTCTCTGATAATTTGTTATAATGCAGATTCTGAAACTGGCACGTGTTGAGCATCCAGACCTCACGAATTAAGAGATTCTTGGGCTCCCCTCCCACACCCCACTTACTGTCCAGCTTGTTTTCTCACACTTGGGAGGGCAGAAGGGACAGTTGTTCATTATGTGAGAGAGCAGCTGGAATGCACACAGCTCGCCTGGGCACAGACAACAAGCTGGTCAGTAGCTCCTGGGTTAGATACAGACCACAGCCCAACCCTGGTGACATTCTAGCAGACGACTGCAGCCAACAGCCTTATCCGAAGGAAGCACACATGGTCTTCTTCAGACAACTGGAAGAAGCCTGACACTCCCCATACAAGTGACTGAGGAGCCAAGGAGGAGAGGCGCTCTCTGCTGGACCTCATACTTACAAACAAGAAATAACTGGTCGGGGATGTAAAGGCTGGGGGGCAAACTTAGCTTCAGTAATCATGCGATAGCAGAGTTTGGGATCCTAAGAGGAAGGGGGAAAAAAAAGTAAAAAGGAGGATCACAACCCTGGACCATAGGAGACCAACGTTTGGCCTTGTTCAGAGATCTGCTTGGAAGAATCCCATGGCATATGGTCCTGAAGAGAAGAGAGGTTCAGGTGAGCATGTTGGTTTTTCAAGTATCAACTCCTCCAAGGTAAACAGGAAAACAAGCAGAGGCTGACCCAAAGAGCTTCTGACAAAATTCACCCATAAACAGGAAACATAGAGGAAAGTAGCAGCAGGGACAAGCCATCTGGGAGAAATGCTGTATGAGTCTGCAGGTACGCGATTAGGGCTAAATAAATAAATAAATAAATAAATCAATCAATCAAAGCCCATGCAAAGCTAAATTCAGTGAAGCAAATAAAGGGCAACAAGTTGGATTTCAGTGGGGCATCTGGAGCAAGGAGTTGGTCATAAAGGTCAAGGAGAAGGTTAAGGGACTGAATGCTTTCTTTGCTTTGATCTTTACTGGTAAGATCAGCATTCCAAAACAAATTCAAACTGAAGACACCAATACCAGCTATTATTGTATCTACAGTATATATGTGTATATATATATTTAAGAGACAATTTCTGCTAAATCAGAGTACAATGCAGTATTAAGAATATCCATAGCTTCAGAAGAGACAGTGGTCAAATAGGAACTTCTTGTGTATATCTAGCTTCTATAGTTTATTGAAAGGAGAAAGTGGACAAGCCAGAAATGCACAACTAAGTCAAATCGATTACTTCAACTACACAGAAGCAGTAACTGCTGCTTGTTCTACATAAACATGCTTTATTTTTTCAGTATCAGTTACATACTCAGAAGGTGAAAGAACATGACTACAGGCTAATGTACTGTTGTCAGACAACACAGGCTATTGTGTTACCAAGACCTTCAGACAACAGTTCCCCCAGCCAAAACCTTTACAGTAGAGAGCAGTAACACATAATTCAACAGTTCATCTACTATTTGAATAACAAGAACAAAAATACATATTAACTTCCTAATTTGTATGCAAAACCAGGATGACTTTCACCCATTACTGTTACGGGATCGAGTAAGCTACACTAATAGGAGGATAGAAAGTCAGGTCTGATAGAATCTGTTAGACCTCTCCTTTAAAAAAATCAACTCTTTAGTTTAAATTTGCATGGAACCAATATATCACATGCAGAGAATATCGAGCTACTGTTAGTTTTACCATGTGGAAAGTACATGCTTAAAGCTCCCAGGATGCATTACTCAAACTCTGCCCAAGAGCCATTCCACCTTTACTTGGTTTTATTGCCCTTTGAGAATTGTCACACAAATAGGGGGGAATTCTGTTCCAGTTTGGATACCAGTACTATTTCTTGCACTGAACAAGCGTGCTAGGGTTGTAAGTCACCATCTTTCCATTACCTTTACTTATAGGAGAGAATCATTAAAGGAGAGATTCATTACTGCATTGTGCTTATTAAGCAGAATTTTTTTTTCCCAAGAAATTAGAGTTTCAAATTGCAGAACAGCCAGGAAAGCAGAGCTTCAAAATTAAAGGATTTTCTATCATCCTCCAAAAACTGTTAAGAATCCCCCTCAATATAGGCAGAATAATAGCATTAAATGGGCCACTTCAGGTTTGTGTACTCATTCTCATTATACATAACTTATGGTTTTCACCACAAAACAAAAAAACCCAAAAACTTGGCTATTACAATAAGACAGTTACTACCCTATAACTGCCACTGCCTACAGTATGTAACTAGGTGTTCTACAGCTTATGCATTATTTTAAGTTGCAGGTGATAGGGTACAGACATTCCATGGAACCCTAACTCTTTATTTCTCCATGTCCACTCAGATGCTTTATCTCAGTCTTAAAGATATGCAATACCTTAAGTATAGCAACAAATGCTCTGAGAGTTGTGTAGTTACACTGATACTGAACAAATATTTTAACAATAATGAATTCTCTTCTCATGAAACTTCTACTGGCAACACTGAAATCTGAAAACAATTCAAAGACTGTAGTTCTGTATATTTTGAAATATCAATGCAGTAATGGCTGTCAGTTAAGAAACTTAAAAACTCGATCAACTCTATTCCAACGCACAGAAGCCTTTACCACTACTAAACACACACCCTTATTCCATTACCATTTCCAGATTCTTCACTGGTAAATCTCAGTCTTAGGGCTTTATTGTTCCTTATTTGGTGAAATTTAGCAGGTAGAACAACAGCCTCAAAGGAAGGAAATACAGAATCATTCAGGAAAATTCAGTGATAAGCAAACTGTTAGGTAACAGACATCAAAAGGGTTCAATGCAACACCAGAAGGGCCTCAAGTGGCCTTTACAGCAACTGTTACAGGTTTACAACTAAACGAGCAATCGGCTTTTTTTGACATATGGATGAGCACGCTCAAGTTTACTCATAAATGTGTTGACCTCTTATTTGGGTTGGGATTTGGGTTCCCTTTGGTTGGTTGGTTTTTCCTATTATTCAAAAGAATGAACTACCTAATTTTGAGGTTCAGTTCCTGCAAGGAATAAAATAACTAATCTTCTCGCAGCTAGTTGCTATGGAAATAGTGTTTCATAACTGGACCTCTGCTGGAACAAAATGTAGAAACAAATAACGAGAAAAAAAGCTCTTATGCCTGAGAACCAGCTGCTTTAAGACATGTGAACTAAGGAGAAGGTTCAGTCAAACAACTTTTGGGGGGGACTTGTACCTCCATAAGACAGAGCATCTAACTTCATAATGATATGTCAGACGGTCTGTGCCCTTGTTTTCATGTGCCCTCAAATAACTGTGACTGGTATCTACTGAGCCTCACTAAACTTGTGAAATTATAACTACATATTAATGCACCAGTTCAAATTTTATATTATTTTCAAAAAAACCCCCACACCACCACTCCAACATCTACATTCCTCCACAGTCTGTAAGTTTGAGGAATATACATTTTTTTAAACAGAAAACTGATGCAAATGGAAAAAAATATCTCCATTGTACTTGATCCTCATGTAGATAGCCTGTGCCTCTAAAAGAACATTAATAAATGGTTACATTTGCCACCACATTTCTTTGTAGAGATTCATAGAAGAAATCAAGACAAAAAAAACCAGACTTCCTCAGCTAGAACTGAGAGGTTACAGAAAACCTTTGAGGCTGCTAAACCTTTACTCCTCCATCAGTTTTTGGGAGAAGAGACTGCATACACTGAAATTCTACCTTCCACATGCAGAAGAGGGGAAGGAGGTTATTAAGAAGAAATAAAGCACTTGTTTATAAAGTCACACTGGCCACTAAAGGATTCTTCAAATTCAATTATATTGACTACTCAATTTTGATATTTACACTCCATCCACTAAGAAACAGAACTAGTACGGCATGTATTTTTAAAGGGAGAATGTGGCTGTCAGGTCCCTTCAAAATACATTCTTCTGTAGATAACAAACAAGATTTTCATCTTCTTTAAATTCAGTCAACAGTTTTATCATTCTAACAAGAGCTTGAGCTGTCAAGGGTTGCACATAAGATGAAAAAGTGCAGTCTGGAGAAACTGCTGGTTATCTTAGGGAAAACAAGAAGAATTAGGATTTACAGCTGTCCTGGATATAAAAAAGATTTTCAGTTACTGGAAGACTTGGATAGTTCAGATGCACTTTTTATCAACCGAGTAACTCCTCTTCCTCTCATAGTACTTGTTCCAAAAAGGGAAGTCTTCACACCACTTGGAGGATCACCTATTAAATTAAATGCAGTTTGCAAATCAGAACAGCCTTTAAAGCTTGCATAATTTAATGAACTGTTCTTCGTATGCTGTGGACATGAACCTATTCAATAGCTCTAATACAAGAAGTAAAAGACAAGGGTTGTGTCCTTTATAAACACCAACACCATAAGATCTCAAGATTTATGATCAGAACAGTTTTACAGATTAATTCAGCATGTATTTTACATGCAAGAAAATAAGCTGCAAACTCAGAATTCTTAGTTGCTTGTCTTGCAAACTTGCCTCTGTTCCTTAAGAGCAAGAAGAGTACTTTAAAGATAGCCCTGCCCCAAATCACCTAAGCATACGAGAACAAACTTCATGTAGCAGAAAAAATGAACGTTATAAATCAGAAAGCAAAAAACCTGAATTTTTAGAGATTTTTTTGACCGTAAGTGTCCAGTAAGAAAAGGGCAGTTCTTTTTATGTCTTCAGAAATTCAGCACAATACATATGCAGTAACAAGTGTACCTCACACAGAGATGTCTGAGCTTTATGTCACCGACAGGCAACATCTAAGCCCAGAAATTAGAAAAAGCAGCAGCCGGATTAAGTTTAAATACCTTTTTCACCTTACAAACGTGAAAGTTTCAAACTCACAATTAGAAGGGACACGCTCTTGATCCTGACTTGGAGAAGCAAAATGTCTCTCACATCCAGAATGCTCAGCCTTCATTTTCTGTATGAAGAAATAAATATTCAAAATAATGTATGTGTCTTCTAAAATGCAGTGTATGCATCCATGTATGAAACCTACAAATGATGTTCAAAAATCACAAGAAATTACCCAGCCTGAGATTAGTTTTCGTTTATCAGTCTGCCCAATGTATGCCATAAAAGACAGCATTCAAAGAGAAAATAGCAAACATGAAATTGGCCAAGTTTGAATACTTGAGTCACCAAGCAATAAAACAGGAGATCAGTTTAAAGAATCTGACCTGAAAACGCTCAGCATCCAGTACCACCATCTTATTTGTGCTTCCACCATAATTCAAGTCTTGAATAGGCAGGTGAGCTGCTGTCAATGGGACTCCATACACACCAGCCAGAGATTTACTGATGCAGTAACTAGAGCAAGAAAAAAAAAACTAAACAACAAAAGTTTGGGCAAGAGAGCTGCAACATTCAAGTATGGCAGCATGGCATTTTTAGTACTTCAGCTGGTAAACGAAAGCAACCGCAGACTGGGAGATGCAGAGCAGATGGCAGAGGGCAGAAGGACATCATCACAGCACTAAGCAGCTACCTCGCACCCTTCCAACACCACCAGCTCCCTATGCACGAAATTAAAACAACTGCTTCTCCACACTATCAAATACAGCCACTCAGAATTGTGAAAAGCCACGTTTTTTTGTTGAAAGGCACAGCAGGATGGAACAGGAGTTTTCTGAATGAAAGACTATTCATTATTATCTCTGAGAACTCTGCTACTACTACTGACTGAGATCTTAAATGGCATTCCCTTGTTTCCCAACTATTTACTTTCCCTTTCCCCACACCAAAAAGATTATAGAATCTTATGTATCTACATTATATATAAAGGCAGTGTGAGTTTCCACAGTAGAGATAACTGGAATACAATCATAGAATGGCCTAGGCTGGAAGGGACCTTAGAGATCATCCAGTCCAACCTCCCTGTCATGGGCAGGGACGCCACCTCTCGACTAGACCAGGCAACACACGGGGACGGAGCGGGAAGATACTGTGGATTTCTCACCAAATGCAGGTATTATAAATCTCTGAAAAGAAAGAGTGAATCCTTCTGCAGTTAACACTTCTCTGAACTTTTCAGTAGTAAGTGGAGCTAGTGAAAGGATGATTGTAGAGTGACAGACATTACTATCACAGAAACTGCATTGCATCTAAATGCTAATACTCAGAGCATACCTCTAAGCCATATAAACAAAGTTAAACAGAATAAAATCTTGGGAGTACAGGGAATAAATAGAAGTTGGGATCTAGGACTACAGCACTCCAGGCAGTCACAGAAGACAGAGCTAAAAATGTGTTTATAACAAAGCTCATCATACTGGGAATAACTCCTTAGCCATACTCACGCAACTTTCTTACAGGACGCCAAAGCACAGTGGACTATTTCGTTCTCTTCATGCCACTTGCACCTACATGAAATGAAATTCAGGCTTATTTTAGAAACACTGAGATCGTTAATCAACATGAGTTGCTGGTCTGGTCAGAAGGATCAGGAACAAATAGTGAAGATGTTCCCTTTTTGCCTCAGTGACCATGGAGTACCTTTAAAATTTCACACAGGACTAGCATTCAGTAACTAAGCTCTAAGTGGTTTATGTAGAGTTAAAAGGTGTGCTAACAGGTAACCTACCTCATGCCGAGGGAGGGTAAAAGCAGAAAAGAGACTCTTGTAGCAACAAATGGAATTTAAATTTCAAGTTTCCTGTTAATGTGAAATAGTCCCTCTTAGAATAAGTATCCCCACTTTCCTCCCCAAATGTGTATTTTAAAGTAAATTTTCCATTCTTGTTAAGGTCTCTCACCAGTGTAAATATACTCATGGAAATGGAAAACTGCCTGAAGATTAAGTGACAGTTATCCATCCTATGGATCCTAAAATTCATACTGTAAACAGATTTCCAAGAATATCTTTTAAAAGATCTCCTAAAATTTATGATCGAATTATTGGGTCTTTCTTAAAATAGCAGAAGAATGTGAAAGCAGGAAAAGCTTTACCATTCAAGTCACAGGGCAGAGCAGGAGGAAGGAAAAAATCCTATGAAGTAAACAGGATTTCAGATATGTAATAAAGAACACTCATTCCAGAGGAAAAAAAGATAGGATCTAGGATCTAGCTTAATGCTTACGCTTGGAAGTTTTATTTATATCACTGGCAAACATACTTTGTCCCTCATCACAGTAGCAGCACGAGGCTTTTGATGTGCAGTGACAGGCTGCACCCAAATCACACTTTTAAGAGTCTGAACCTTCTCGCTTGTGTCATTTCCAGTTAAACACCACAACATACTTTATTCCCCCCTTCTACCTCCTCCCTTAAATTAGACCTTGGACTCAGCATTAAAAAGTCATCTATCCTTACACTTCTTTTGGGAAAGTATTTTTCATTTTCAGTTGTACTCACGATGAGACACGAAGCATTTCTGATGAGGTGGCTTGCAAAACGTTCCAGCCTAGCAGCACACAAGCTGTTTGTACGGCATCAATGTATCAGCGTGCCCTAACACAGATTTCCACAAAGAATCCAACACACCTGGTATTACTTGAGAAGTCCCACAGGACACCATCCAGTTCTCTACACACCCAAGTCTTGGACAGCTCCTTTTGGTATTTTTTCCAGTACAGTTCTACTATCAGGTCTTCTACAGCAAGAAGCTCCAGCTGGCTCTCAATGCCTACAGCTCAGAGAAAATTCAGGTCAGGAGAACGGAAGACGCAGCGTATTTTCTGCTCAGCTCACTTCTCAGTCAGTCCCTGCTCCCTGTCCAACCTTTCAGCAGAGCATCAAAGCTCTTGTAAACCTTAGGTTATTCCACCAGTGGTTCTAATAAAATCTGGCTTCCTGGCAAAGTAGATCATCCTATATTCCCATAATTCTCTCAACCTCAGTAACTATGCATCCTACTTGCTGGCTATCTCTCCTCAGAAGCTGTTAGTTTTCCCCTACGGTGTTACCACATGCTCACTGCCCCCATCACCTCACTGCCTCTAGTGCTCCTGTAACTGGCTGAGCAATAAACCTGTCTTAAGGCCAGAAATCTACCTGGGCAGCAGTTACTCTACAGATGTGCTCAACAGCCAGCTAGCTGATCCTGCTCCTGTTTCACTGTCACTGCCGGGGAGGAAAAGAGGAGGAAGAAGCATTCAAAACAGTTCTAGCTATCAGTACTAGCTTTTATGAAACCCTTGAGACCCAAACAGTCTCAGAAAAATAGAGCTGCCCATGATACATTACTGTTCATTCTTGGGGAGGGAGGGGAGGCCAAAAGCGATCCATTTCCCACCTGTTATGCTAGCCATTCGATTGAGACACCAGTTAACTTGGAATCTGTCACTAGACTAGAGGAAAGAAAAATTCAGTCACATCAAAGTACAGCATATAATTGTTATCTGCAAGACTTCTGACTACATCTGAAAAAGTCACCTCCAAGACAAAATTCAATGTTTGTGGGACTGAAGGTACACTCTTCCTGAAAATTATCTTGAAGAAAAACCAAATGCCATGGAGGCTTTCCCACCAAAACCCAGAAGAAATCTTGGGCCGGTGCTTGGAGACGAGTTAAAGGTCAACCCATACTGTGGGTATCTCCATTAAGTACCCCCAGTTTTTTCAACATGTATTTCTTCAGAGCTCTGTATCTATAGATGGAGTCCAAGATCTGGACCCTCATTGCCTTTTTAAGGATTAACTTAAGGCTCAAACGGAATCAAAACTGATATAGCTGTCATAAAGCTTAAACACCTCTGAATCCTAATGTTTTGCTTTGTTCATTGGTGAACGAAACTTTAGTAAAAATCAAGGTGTACGGTATTCTCATTGGCAAACAGTCAGAAAAATGTACAAACATCCCTTAGAAAAACAGGATTGTGTGGCAATTACTCAGCACAATCAATTTAAGTCAAGATTAAAAGCCTTTAACCCAAGTCAAAACAGCATCAGAGACCAAGTGAAATGCTCATCAGCAGACTCAAGTGACAAGCGCAGGCTGAAAATAAGGAGGCTGAAAATTAGGTCTCTGCTTTATAAAAACGTCAGCTTCTAGGGGCCATTCCTTACTGTGTGGAACTGGGAAACTTTTTTCCAGAGCGTCTTTGCCCACTGATTTACTTCACTCTAAAACCTACTCAGTGTGTATCTCCTTTGTCATCTAACAGAAATGAAATGTGGGGTTTCGATTTAGAGTATCTTACATTGACTTTGACCATACCCTGCAGTGAAAGCGAGGCCGAAGACCTGTGACTGGCTGGACAAAGTCAAGTAGTTCTTGTAAGACAACTGTGTAAGAAGTACGTGGAAGAGGAAATCCAGACATAGGGATCTTATGAGTGGCATCACCTGAGGGGGAAAAGAAGAAAACAAAAAAATCAAACCAACTTATGGGAAGTCTTGTATCCATAAATGACAGTTTTCCCCTCCTTCGTATCTTTTTATATACATATATGTACACAAACACATACAACTCCTCTTCTGTACTGGCAATGTGTGTGATATTAAAATCTATTAAAATCTTATTAAAAATATTAAAATCTCATTAAAATCTATTAAAATCTTATTAAAATCTATTACAGCTATTAAAATCTTGCTTCCCTTAGCATAAGACTGGTGAGTCTGGGCTGCAGGGACACACATACACACTTACGTCTTTTAAAAGGCCGTTATCTAAGTATTTGCCATAGGAAAACACGGGCCAAGTTTGTTCCCACTGTACACAACAGGAGGAAGTGTCTTCATAGAAACAAACTGGAATCTATAAACATTACTTAAAAGTCACAAGGGAAACAAGGCAGGCCAAGCCAGGTACAACAATGGTATAAATACTCCAACTTTGTTGATACATGTAAAGCTGCAAAACCCTTATGATTTTTAAATACAAACTAGTATCTTCGAGTTACCCTGTGCTATCAAGGGAAGGACACTCTGCTCAGACAGGCTTGAAAGCCTTTAAAGCCATACAACGACGTCCCGTTTAAGAAGAACATACTCTGGTTATTATTGAATTAACTAGGAAAGCAGAATAAAAATAACTTCCACTGGCAAAACCATTTTGGGTGAAGTGCTCTGCCATTTGGGAGTACAAACATAGGAAAAGGTATCTGTTCTGTCACTCCTTTCTCTCTGAAACTTGACAGAAGGAAAAAAATGTAGTCTTATAAAATACTTGGATACAGATCAGATAACCTGAATTTAAAACTGTACACCTTTGCACACCATTTTTTTTCTCCAATGATACTCACTAGCAGCCTGGCAGTGGTACCGAAAACCACACGGTGGTTCTTCTGAAAAAGAGTAGGAGAGGTGAGGGGAAAAGGCAAAAAAAAACGAAAAAAAAAAACCAAAAAACAATCATCCAACCTCCACAATGACAGATCTTTAACTCTCCATTATGCACCATAGTTTCTACAGAAAGAAACAGCTTCATCCTCTCTTGTGCTCTTGTACAAGTGGCACAACTACTTTTGAAAAAGTTATTTTCAGTCATATGCATTGTAAAACACAAAGTATATTGTATAGTGTGTGCGTTTAGATCCAATCAAGACAAACTTTCATCGGCACAAAATATAAAGAACAAACACCTGAAGGTCCTCCTGCATTTAGCATCTATTCTACCCTCTCTGAAGCTTCATGCAGTTCTCGTGCTTAAATAGACCTCTTAAAATACTACAACAGTGCCGATGGTTTCTGAAGAAGCCCAACGACTTAATAGTCAAAAGAATAAACCTGTCTTAATACCAGAAATCTACTCTGGGCAGCAGTGAGTGACACCAGAAAGTCTTCCTCTCACCGCAGAGCAAGAGGAACTACTTCTGTCCCTTCCTTGGAGCACACCTGGATCTATGAAGTGATGGAAATCAGCCATGATGCCATCCTGCAGCGAGTATTTGACACACCCAATCTCGCAAGGAAGGAAGCGCTGTTCACAGGGGGGTGGCAGCTTGCCATGGCTGAAAATGTTCAGGAAGTAGAAGACATCTGCAATCACAGCTGAAAGAAAAAAGAAGAAAAATCCACACCACAAAAACAACAACAAGAAAATCGCAAATTTTCAGCATGTAACCACTAGAGGTTACAGTAAAGCCACCCTGGCCTCACCTCATCCAGTGAAAGCTTCAGTACGTTTTATCATGCAAGTCAGTAAAGTCGGGTTATGGCCAAGTGAAACACACAGATCTTTCTCTGTGTCTGAAATGACAAAGTAACTAATACTTATGCAAAAGTCAGGCATATCAGTAGTCCTGGTAAATCCTCCATAGATGTTACTGTGTGTAGAGATCAGGGGAAAAAACAAATTAAAAATAAAAGCAATTTAAAAAAAAAAAAATCAGATCCACATTAAGAAGCCTGAAACCCAAGAGGAACCACTATCTCTTTTTATGATAGATGCCTTCACCCTCTAGGAAAAAAAGGTTAAAAATTTTTTAAAAAAATAAATTGATAGCTGCAAAGCATCCTCACAAGCCCAGTTCACTAACTTATACAAGTTAAATGAGCTGGTAATAATCTTCTGGGTAAGACAAGACAAGAAATCAGCTAATTAAAAGGACTGCTTCTCCTTCGCTAAATGAGCTCCCAAAGAAAGTGGCATAAATACCCAAGGCAAACGTTAAGAAATAAATTTATCACTTACTAATTTTAAAAGTATCCAATGATGAAAAATATTCCACAGTACACCTTACCCCTTCTCTTCATGAATGTCACATAATGTTCTCACAGAAGCTTAAGGTAGCTATTTAATCCTCAGCCTTAAATTCTGATCCTCATCAAAAAGTCCTACTTGTTCTATTAAATAAGAGAGATGCACAATCATTTCTACACAGAAAGAACGCTGTGTGGCAGACCTTATGGCACTTAACACTACTTAGCTGTCCTAAGCTGGAATGCTGGTGCTCTCTTACATGAGTCTTAAAACTCTACAAGCTGCAGGGTCATAGGAAAGACACCTCTCCTACCCGAGTCTGAACCTCTTTCCTTACGAAAAAAACCGCATATGGCTACAGGGAACCATGCAGGGCTTTTACTGAGAAATATTACGGAGCAGCAACATAAAACACATCTCAATTATCCTTTACCACTATCCCTCTCATACAGTTTAAAGATCAACTGTGTCCATTCAAGTCATCATGCTCAGCCTGATTAAATTTGCATCACAATGACAGGGGAGCACGACCTCTGGCAGGGAGGATGCTAACCGGTATTACCCTTTTTATGGAGCTTCTCTTTCCTGCCTCTCCATAACCATGTGTCCAGGGTTAGGGCTGGGCCAACCAGCAAACACTGGCAGATGCTCTCTAACCCCTCCCCAAAGGGAAAGGGAATGAGGCAGAGAGACTTGCAGATCATAAAAGAAAACTAATAACAGCTTTAATAAAACAAGAAAAGTACTAACAAGGAAATAATTAAAATAATGAACTATCTACAAATACATACAAATCTGATATCGAATCCGACTACCCCCCGCGGCCCCCCACAGCAATCCCCACTGATGCTGCAGAGCAGGCGGCACCGAGGAAGCCCCAGGCTCAGCGACAGAGGGGAGCTGGATTCAGGAACTCAGGACCAAAGGCAGAAGAAAAGGCATAGTCCTCCTCAGACACTGGCCACCAGAGCAAGAGAAAAGAGGTGCTTAACCCCTGTGGATCCCTCAACTTTATACTGAATATGACATATATGGAATGGAATACTTTTGTTGATCACTTGTCCTGCCCATTTCTCCCCACAGATGCAACTTCCCAGAACTCCCAACAAGATCCAGCAGTGACCTTGGTCACTACAGCAGCAAGTATAAGCCTTTCTGCATTTCAGTCCCTGGCAGTAACTGAAAACATGAGGAATTACTGCTTCTAGCCGGCACTGTCTGCGAAAACATGCTGCTGACTTCAGAAAGTGCAGCCTCTTGGAAGAGACTGAGCTGAAAAGTAAATTCGCGGAACAAAATTGGTTCTGTCTAGCTCAAACCAGGACACCGGGAAAACATGAAAATAGTTCAAGAGACTTGTTAAGTAAAAGGCTTGAGCTGAGACTTAACCACACATCAGATACAGCTTGTATCAACTGCCTGTGTGACTCATCCTGTAAGCACTACCATTTACCATTTTTCGGAATAATGTAATATTCACTGGGGAAGAGACTACAGATGTGTTCATTATTCAGTTCTAATTAAGACACTCATCTGAAGAGAGGGTACAGATAAGAAAGGTTTAGTTTTCAAGAGTTCTTTCAAGAAGGAAGCAAAGGCAGGATGTTAAAGAAGCACTGACAAAGTACATATCCCTTCTTTGACTCTTTCAAAGAGCACAGGTCATCGTTTTATTTAGTACCTCTACCACACAAATTTTGAAATTTGATATCTAACAACTCTTCACCCCTTAGAACTGGTCCAAAGATTCTTTTATGCTGAACTTGGATTAGGCCTTGTAAATCATAAACAGAGGAGTTGAAGAAATACCTTTTCCTTTAAAAACTTTAAATATTACACAAACTATTAGTGGCTATACTCCATCAAGCTAAAAAAAACAGAAGATAAAATTATTTCAGGGAGGAGGGGGAGACAAGCCAGGACAGACACAACATTTACACCGACTTCCCTCTATATTACAAAAGGCCTTTTCACAGCAGTTTAAAGCAAACAAACAGTTGACACAGATGGCTATTAGCAAAAGTAAACACCTTTGTATAGGTACCATTCAGAATATCTATAAAGGGGAAGCTTTTATCTACCAGGATCAACTGTTTAAAGATTACTATACCCTCATCATTCTTCCAAGACATAGCAGAGGCATCTGGAAGAGAAGTAACACTGAACATCTTTGTGGTTGGATAAGCAGGAGCTGGATGAGCCGGATCACTCATCTGGAAAAAGATGAGAAAGTTAAAAAAAATTTTTAAAAAACAGAGTTTACTAACACCCAATAAAGTCCTTCACCCCCTTATATCTGAGGAAAGCATAATATCCACTAACAGCTATGGTTAGGTGGCACAAGTCTGCAGGTTATATAAAAGGGCTTGTGTACTTGCAAACCAGGAAGGCAAGATTTCTCTTCTATCAAGAAGAGAAATACATATCTTAGTACCTTGGTAAAGTCACTCCAGACAAAAATAACTGCAGCTAAATTTACAAAATGTAATTTAACATACAAAATATAAGAGACACAAAGTATAAGAGAGATATCGAGGTGTTGGAGTGAGTGCAGAAGATGACCAAAACCCTTCAATACACAAAATAACTGTGGTACAACTGTCATTGTACATGGGGGCTATTAATAAACTGAGATCACATATAATCTCATAAATACACACTTTCTGATTTTCACTGACAGACAATAAGAATGATTTTCTTTATTTTGGTAAAGCAATTATTCCTTTCCCTAATTACAGCTTCCTAAAATGCTACCGCTTGTGGAAGGAAATACAAAAGCCTCCATTTATGACTTAGCTGTAGCTTTCACATAGCTCTCCATTATATATGAAAATGGAGCTTCATTAATTACATACCCCTAGCCTGCTAAATAACATGATCATCAGGTTTTAAGCAGCTCTTTCCTATACAGGCAGGTCCCCAAAAACCAGAAAACATTGCCTAACATCTTCCTACTAGGCTAGATAGACCAAATCAACTAATCCAGATTTACTAGTTACTCTAAACTACAATCATTCTGCTACTCTCTCTGGCATCACGCAAGTGTTTTAAAGTCCTAAAACTTACCCTCACCAGCAATTCATAGTCAATATCTAGTAATATGGCAGGAAGTAAATGCAGTATTATCCATTTATTCAATCAGGCTCTTCGCTTTGACACTCAAGTTTTTACACTGCTAACCAAGACTGGAATAAAATTAAGCTTTCTGACACCTCACGTAATTCAACCTCTGATGCAAACTATGCTTCAGGAAACCAAACTGCTGGGAAAGGGAGCAAGACAGATAGAAGCAAAAGAAAAGAAATATTTTTTCAATAATCAGTAGAAGAGTTCTGTTTAGCACTATTTGTGACCACAATCACATTCAGCTTAAGCTAACCGCTTCCTTCTATATTGTTGAATTTTGTCCTCCACCATAACATTACTATCTCTCTGTAATCAAACCAACCTAAAAATAATGGCAAAGTGTAATTACTCTTCTTGTGTGGGGGTTGCAACATTTCATCGACCTGGACCACCCCACAGTCACTCAAGAATGCCAAATCAGCTGCGTCTAAGATGTGGTTTCAGGCCAATAGATAAGAACAACCTAAACTAAGGACATCCACGAAGCAAAAGCAACATGAACCTATGACCCAAAGTCTTCTCAACTTACAACACTATAAATAAAAAAAACAAACAACACATTTTAAGTCAGTCACTGTAAAGTACTGTCTAACAAAAACCTAAGTTGCTAGAAAACTGCATTTTACTTGGTAAAAGCGCCCAAATGTATAAGCTGTGACAGTTTTAAAATGGCATAGAATATTCACAGAATCACAGAATTGTTGAGGCTGGAAAAGACCTCTGAGGTCATCAATATTCCCACCTTCAATTCAAAGGAGAACAACTTTCTGCATAATCTCCATACCAGTATGGATTACCACAGGAGCTACAGCCTTGGGAGGCTGTGGAGAGCAGGTGATCTTCCACGGCATCAGGGCTGACCAAACCCCAACACCACTGACTCTCCCTCTTATTTTGTTATATTGAAGAAGCTCTTTCCTGGCATTTACCTCTTCCACTGTTTTCTGAGAGCCTTTCTGTTCAGTGCACTTCCGAGTCCTCTCTCTGTATACCATCTTTTCCTCCTTTGTCAGCAGCTTGAGGGAAAGCAAACAGTTAAAAAAGGTTTTTACTGCTTTTTTTCTAGCGGTCCCGCAAACCAACAAACTCCACTTAAGAAATTAATTGGGCATTTCCAAAGGAAATGGCCAGAGCCACCAACTCCTAAGACTGACTAAAGCGTTTCCAGTTTGCCTTCCCCCTAGGGAAGCCACCTGTTTCGATTCAAAACCCCCAGCGAGCAAGCACCTGCTCTCA